TGCTAAATCGAACATTTTAAAATTTCGAATAGTTCAGTTAAATTAATTGTTATATTTCTATAAATGAAATGAAATTAATTTACTTATTATGTATTATATTGATTTCAATCATTAATGATTGAAATAATACAAAAATTTAGTTTCGATTAAAAAAGAAATAATCTAAAATGAAAAATTATTCTGTAAAGCGATTAAAAAAGAATTTGATAAGATATTAGGTGGTAGAAAGATGGATTAAATTGCATGGAGACAGAAGGATTGAGAGATGGAAGAAAAGTTGAGTGTCACATGAACATGTCCTCCAAAATCTCTTTTCTACCTCTCTCTCCCTCCCTCTCTCCCTCTCTCTCTCTCTCTCTCTCTCTCTCTCTCTCTCTTGGAACATCTGCTCAATTCTTTAGATATAAATACGGATGGAATATCTTCAAGCAATCTTCTCATTCTTCAAAGTAGTCATCGCTTCAACAACTATCATCATCTATTTTAGGACTAGCAAACAAGGATAGTTTTTAGTTGGTTGATGATAATGTGATGTTCACCAGCTGCTTTGCTACATACATCATTAAATAAACCACAATTAATTCATTTTTAAATCATTTCAAATTTTTATTTCATTCATTTATTATTTCTATTCATATTAATTAATTAAATCTTTTTGCTTTTGGTTTAAATTATTACTAAAATTTTTGAGGAAAAAAAAAAAAGGAAAGGAAAAGAAAGAGAATTATTAAAATATTTGTTTTTTTTTCATTTTTTTTTTCTGTCATTTTTGTTTTGTTTTGTTTTGTTTTTAAAAAAGAAATTTATAATATAATTTATTGCATAAAATTAAATTGTAATGTGCTGCTAAGCAACTGAACGAAATGCTAATATTTTGAGGACCAAAGGAAAAAAAGAAAAAAGAAAATTTTTTTTTTTTTTTTTATTTATTTATTTATTTTGAAAAATTAACCATACATATAGGACAAACTATTTTTTCTATTTTTATTGGAACATTTGCTCATCTTTAGGCTATTTTTCATTCATTTTCCTATCTAAGGTTTTTTTTTTTTTTTTTTTTCATTTTTATCAAAGAAAATGAAGCGAACGAATTTTTGATTAATTCTGTTAATTTTCTTTTTTTTTTTTGCTTTTTGTTTTTTTTTTTTTTTTTGTTTTTAAACAAAATTTAATTTTAATGTTCAATTTTGCATTTTTAAATTATGCAATAGATTTTATAATAGATTTATAAAATAGATTTCTAATTTTTCTTTTCTTTTTTTTTTTCTTTTTTAATCCAATACTTTTTGGAATATTCTAACAATTAAAAACATTTGATATTTGTCGAATTGTAGAAGCTTTTGGAATGTTTTAACATTTAAACATTTGATACTTGTTAAGTATTTTTTTTTTTTTTATTAAATAATTAAAAGATTAGAAGGCCAAAATTTTTAAGAAATTTTCAAATTTTTAAAAAAGAAATTTTTAAGAAAATTTATGTAGATATTTTTCTGATGAAATTTTTATATGTCAATTTATTAACTTTTTTTTCTAACGTTTTTTTTTTTTTTTTTAATTTTTAAATAACATTTAAATATATGTCTTATTTACAATACTTTATATCAAACAAGTAAAATGATAGAGAGAAAAGGAGAAAGAAAAAAATTTAAGAATAATTTTATGAAATCAAATTTTAACTTTTCTCATTTTTGAATAATTTAAATTTTTTAATTTATTAATTATATTTTATAATCTTGCATCATTTATCATTCTTTTTTTATCATTTGCAATTTTTAATATGATAATGGAAATGATAATATTCAAATCATATTCAAATCATTAGCTTATAATAGTCATTAAGCATCGAAAAAGTTAGCCATCAGTGTTTAAGGCAAATTTGATATAATATATAAATTTGGGCGATTGAAAGAAAAAAAGGTTTATTGTAATAAAATTAACAGTGTGATAAAGAATTAATTAACTTTTTTGTTGTATATAAATTAATTAATTAATTAACTTTTATAACGTAAACTTTCTTTAATAAAATTTTATAATGCAAATTTAATCATTTACATTCATCTTTGTACAACGCATATTATATGGATATATGAATGAAATTATAGACTGTTTCATATTTGAATTTGTAATATAATATTAATTAATATTTAAATTTGTAATACATTTTTAAGACTGTATTAATTATTTAATATTTAAATTTGTAATAATTTTTTAGGATTGTATTAATTACTTCATATTTAAATTTGTAATAAATTCTGAAGTTTTTTTTGAGCTTTTTTTTTTTTTTTTTTTTGCAGATTTAATTTTATTTAATTAATTGAGTGTAACTTTTTTTATTGATAATTTCGATTGGCTTTTTTTTTTCGTTTGTTGTTTGTTTACAAAGTTAGAATTTTGCTGTAAAATAAATATGAAAGAAAATGAAAAGAAGAAGAAAAATTGGGGAAGGAAGCAGGTGGCAGTTACCGTAGTAGTTGCTACTTAGCGAAGTTACACTTATAATCTTGTCTAAAGTGAACAATTCAATAGAAATGTGAAATGTGGATGAAGACAGAGACAAGGAGAGAGGGAGAGAGAGGGGAGGGAGGGACAGAGACGGAGAGAGAGAGGGAGGGAGGGACGGAGACGGAGAGAGAGAAGAGGAGGGGGAAGAGAAATGTAAGAGAGAAGGAGAGAAGAGTGAAGAATTTGAGCAAATGATAATAAATAGTGTGATAAAGTTAAAATTAAAGTAAGTGTGAAATTCTCTTTCTCTTTTTTAAAATAAAAAATTGTGAAATGGAATAACAAATAAAATTATATATTATAATTGTTTATTATTTATTATTTCTTATCAAAAAAAAGTTTTAGAAATAGCTTTAAGAATGTGAAGAATGTGTGTGTGTGTGTGTGTGTGTGTGTATATATTTATAAGATATCATTAAAATTTTTCTTTCTTTCTATCATTTCTCCCTTTTTTTCTTGCTTTTTTTTTTTAAATAATTTCTTTTTAAAGATATTATTTAAAAAAAAAAAATAGAAACTTTAAGATAGAAATACATGGCTGTATGTATGTGTGTGTGTGTATTTGTTTAATTATTAGTTAATTCTTGAAAATTAAAAAATTAAGAAGAAGAGAAAGAGAGAGACAGGAAAGGAAATGGTAATGAATATACAAAAGGGAGAGAGAGAGAGAGAGATAAATGATAAAAGAAAGATTGAAAGAGTGAAAATAAAGAATAGCAATTTTTAAAGGTTTTTTTTTTAATATATTTGCATGAAAAGTACTAAAAATGAGTAGCGGCGATATCATTGATGATTTTTAGCTTTGCTTTCTTCTCTTATTCTTTCTTTTTTTTTTTTCTTTTCATTCTTTATTATCGTTTCATTTCTTAACTTTCATACAAAGAGAAACAAATGAGAAAGAGAAAAAGGAGAGAGAGGGAGAGAGGAAGGAAGGTGGTAAGAGTAAGAGTGAGAGAGAGAGAAAGAGAAAAACTTTAATTCTAAAATTCCTTCTATATCCATTTCCTGTGGACAGATAAATACAAGCACACACACACACACACACACACACACACACACACACACATACACACACACACCCATGCAAACAATCATCTACAGACAAAGAGACAGACATACTTTATGGACGACCATCTGCGGGGTTACTAATAGTAGTAGTTAGTAGTTAGTAGTAGTAGTGGTAGTAGTTTCAGCAACTGAAACCCTCCTTCATTATTTCTTCCTTCAATCGTTGTTATTTTTATGTGATTTGTGCTTAATTGTTACCATCGAACTGAAATATCGAATTACTAAATTACTGGTATACAGGATAACAAGGAGATTACTGTGCTTTTACCGTTGTTATTGTTATCTGTTAATTGCTTTGATAAACTTTGCTACTAGTATTACTGTTAACTATTGATTACTTTGATAAACTGTATTGAATTACGCTTGTTCCATGTTAATATCTATATTAGGAGACAATCGGATTACTGTGATATTACTATTACTAGTACTGCTGCTAACTATTGATTACTTTAATAGGCTTAAATTGAATTACAGGTGTTATGAGATGAATTACTCAGTTACTAATTACTGATTACTTTGATAGGTTTTGTTTAGATGAATGAATGAATAATGAAAGGATTGAATTGCAGTTTGTAGGCATTTATATTTGTATGTTATTTGTTTACTTTTGACCATTTCATTTCCATTCTTCTCACATAAAGCAAGTTAATATAATGCAGTAATTACAATTACAATTTTTATTTAAATGTTATCCTTATCGTACGTCTAATTATATATTTGATGTATGAGTTACACGTGTGAAACGTGTTTTACACGTTAAATATGATTTATATTAGTTACACCCATTTTATGCGTCAAGTATTTTTGTTTTGTTTTGTTTTGTTTTGCGTTTTTTATAATAAATTTTATACCATTACTGTAGTAGTTTATACGTAAGATTTACGTTTAAACAATATGTAGACGTTAAGTTTATAATTTACAATTTAAATAATATAGTTAACCTATAAATTACATATGCACGTTATGAATTACTGAATTTTTTGATTCACGTATATCCGTTAGTCTTAAAGTAAATATCTAAGCGTATAATTCACGTTTATATATATTTTTTTTTATGCATATTAAAATTTATGTTCACAATTTACAATAAGTATTAATATATCGTTTACGTGTAAACTATTTTAATACAAATTTATATCAGTAATTTGTAATGAATATTATTGAGTACTAATAATTTACCTATAAATTACATATATAATTAAAAATTTATATTACTAATTTAAAATGAATGTTACAATTGTACGAAATTTGCAAATTTGTATGAAATAATTCGATGTAAATGTTAGAATTTATGTTGAAAATAATAAAATCATATAATGTAAATAATTATGAGAATGCTAAATAATAAATGTATTTTTTGAAATATATTTTAAAAATTTTATGTTAATTTTTTTTTTTTTTTCTTTTTTTCCTTCAAATATTTTTCAGGAATGACAGCAACGCCACATTTTCTGTTTGCAGCAATGACAAAATTACATCATACAACAAATGCAACAAATTTACATCAAAATTTACCAACAATTACATCATCAAAAGATTTATCACTCACATCAACGGTTACAAATGATCCGGTAAAAAATGATTCAAATTTATGCATGAAACAACCGGAAATAACACCATTAACATGTAGTAGATCATTATCATCATCATCATCATCATCATCAGGAAATGATAATTCAATACCAATTGAGGTATTATCATCAAATTGTCACAAATTGATAACAAATGATTGTTGTAGCAAAAATAGTAATCGTAATACTGATGAAACAAATAATGCTTATATAAACAATGTAAAACGACGACGGAAACCAGATGGTAATTTATTTTTATTTTTGTTTTTGTTTTTTTTTTTTTTTTCTTTACTATTTTTATTTCTAAATTTCATATATATATTAATTAATTAATTAGTTTATATTTAGGCCATATTATAATTATTTTAGCTTAGGCTCATTTTGTTTTATTAAAAAAAATTTTTTTTAAAAGAAATTTCATTATTTTTAGAAAAAAAAAAAATGATAATTTCATGAAAACAAAAAATTTAACATACAAAAATTCTTAATGTATTCATTTACTCATTTTTTTCTTTTTTCTTTTTTATTTTCTTTTTTTTTTCATTTGTTTTTAACGAATTAATTTATTCATTCAATCTGTTTGCTTTTCTAACAAATTATCCATCATATATATACGTAATTAATATCATTTGTTAAAAATTCATGCAAAAAAAAAAAAAGAAGAAAAAACATTGAATTAATTTTTAACTTATAAGTTATTAATATATTAAAAAGCATTCCTTATTTTAATAATGAATTATAAATTAAGTTGTAAAATATATGTGAAATAAATATTTTTTTTAATTTACAATTTATTAAAATATCAAAAAACATTGTTTACTTTAGTAGTTATCATAAGTAATCAGTCATAAATTGTGCTGTAAACAAAATATATGTAAAAATAAACAAAATTCAAGAATATTTTAATAGCTTACTAAGAATTTCATTGTTATTGTTGCTAGTATTTATTTTTGTGCTAAATTAATATTTATTGAATTTACTTTACATAATTAATTTTTTTATTAACAATTTATGAATTAGCAAAATCAAAGTATAACTCTTAAGATAGATAATAAATGAATAATTTATGCAATTATTAGCAATTTTTAATAAATTTTAGGACAATTATAATTTATTATTTTTTGAACAAATTTAGTACAAACTGTAAGTTATGTAAAAAATTTTTTCAACTTTTTTATAGATTTGTTATTTTCTTTTTTTTTTTTACATTTTATATTTCAAAAATTAATCATTTCTTATCTTCTTTTTCTCATTCTTCCTTCTCTCATCGTTTATTTCTATATTTTGCAAACTTTTTTATCAAAATTTTGTTTACATTTTTTTTTTTTTTCTTATATTTTCATTCTGAAATGAGTAAGTATGTAAGAATGCATATAATAAATATTTTTCAAATTTTAAAACTTTAAATAAAGTTAAATTTGACAATTGTGCATTTTTACTTATTATTTTACTTGTTACTTTATTACTTTTTACTTATTATTATTGTATTGCTCTTTTTTTCTTTCTTACTTTATTCATTTCTTTTTTTATTTTCTATTGATTAATTTAACAAACAAGGTCAATTAAATGAAAAAAAAGAAAAAAGTAGGAATGATTGGTAGGTATTATTATCGGATATTGATGGCAGATGTTATAAATTGATATAATCTTAGTCAGATTTATTCATCACAAAAAAATCTCAACACAAATTATTATATTTAATCATGAACTTATTTAGTTAAGTTTTATTGAACTTTTTTCTTTTTCATCGATTTAAAATTTACAATGAAAAGAAAATAATAAAACTCCAATAGTTGATTTATAGTCAAAAAAAAAAAAAAAAAAGATTCCATATATGTATATTTCTAATTTTTTTTTACTTCAATTTAAATTGAAATCTTTTTTTATTTTTTTTTTTTGCCATTTTAATTTCCTCATTTTTGCTTTTCTTTTTAAATTTCATATTTTAAATTTCTTTATTCGTTGAAACAAATATCAATTTGTTAATAAAAGAATAAACAGTAATCATTCGAAGATTACTTTATCATATTATAAATTAAAAATTGCAATTTTTTCAAAAAATATTTCCAAATTTTAAATAAAATTTGAATATATCATAAATAAACAGAATTTAAAAAAAAAAAAAAAAAAGAATTTTTTTCTTTTTAATATAAATTAATTGGGCACTTAAATTGAATTTCTCATTAACACATTATTCATGTTTTCTTTTTCCTTTTCATTTATCTTTAGTTATTCTAAACTTTTACGTTTAACTTTTTCTTTTCTTTAATTAGTAATATTAAAATGAAAAAACACTTAAATTATTTGTTACTAATTTTTTTATAATAAATAAACTTACAAATATATTTTAGGATTGTAAACATTTTTATGTTCAATATTTTTATCTTTCCAGTGATTGTTAAATAAATTGAAATTTTCTTTTAAATATTAGATAATTAGGTAATGATATTCATATAGCTCAATCAGTAATTGTATTCTATCAGTTAGTAGTAAATTACTTTTAAAGTTTATATGATTATTTGATATGAAGTAAGTATAAAAATGATTAATCTTATCTTGAAATAATATTTACATCCATATAATGTATAAATGAATGATAGGAAGTGATAAGGATGATAATATTGATAATTTAATAAAATTTCATTAATCAAGGATCACAATGATAATAGTGATAATAATAGTATGTCCCAATTAATTATCTTTTTTTGATCATTTTCTTATTGGATTTTAATTATACATATTTTTCTCATATTTTTAAAATTTCCTCATATTTTATCATTTTACCCATTTGTTATTAGCAATTATTACAATATGCCAAAATGAGTTAAGTTAATAAATATTTTTACATATGAATAAATATTATCTATGCTTAATGTTTTTTTTTTTTTTTTTAACTTCAATTTATTTCTTTTTCTTATGCATTTATATTATTTTAAAATAAATGATATTTAATAAAAAAAAAAAAAAAAAGAAATAATTGCTTTTTTGAATAAAATAAAAAAGTTTATTATTTAATTTTTGTTTCATTGTTTATTTTTTTTTTTTTTTTTTTTTTTTATAAATAAAATTTTAATAAAATTATAACAATAAGAAGAAAAAAAAAATTTTTTTTTTCCTTTTCAGCAAAAAATATCGTTCATGTTATTGAGCAAATAACAGAAGAGCAAGATGATGATTTGGATGGAAATATAAATAAATTTACAAATAATATTAGTATTGATACAACTGATAAAATTATTTGTAAACCATCAACGTCTAATTTAATTCGTAATCAAATAACATCAAAATTATCAACGATTACTTCATTCAATACTCCTACTACTACTACTACTGATACTGATACTGATACTACTATTACTGATAATACTATTACTATTACTACTAGTATTACTGATACTGTTACTGATACTGTTACTAGTACTAGTACTACTACTACTACTACTACTACTACTACTACTAATCATTTACCACTACGATTTAGCATTGAATCACTGGCTACATCAGCACCAAAACATATTTCAGTTTCAAATGTAAATTTAAATACGATAGAAAATATCAGTAGTCCAGAGTCGTGTACCTCTCAGTCACCACATTCAGTTGATTCACACTCATCTCAGTATACATCATATGATAAGTCATCAATTAAACAATTATCATCATTTGATAATTGTGATTTTCGTAATCCATCAAAAATTTCATATTCATTATTATCATCATCATCATCATCATCATCAGTAGCAGTAGCAGCAGCATCATCAACAACAACAACAACAGCAGCAGCATTTCATGGTGGATTAAAGAATCGAAATGGTAAATGAATAGAAAATTATTTATTTATTTATTATAAATTTATGTTTTTTTGTTTGTTTGTTTGTTTATTGTGTTTGTTATAAATTTTTAATATTTAATATATAAAAAAGTACAAAATTTAATGATTTTGTTATAATTTTAAATATTTAATACATAAACTATAGAATTTGGTGCTTTCATTTTTTTTTTTTTGAAAATTCTTTAAAATTATTATTCATTTGATAAGTGATATAATTTGATTAATCATTAAATTCATTAAAATGCACAATTGTGTAAAATAAATAATCAGACAATAGCTAATATCATTTAATGCAATTAATAGTCTTAAAAAATGAATGATTTTTCAACTTAATTTTTAAATTTAAACAATTCTCAATCTAACTGCTTTCAAAAAACAAAAACAAAAACAAAAATTTCTTTAATTTCCATAGAAAGAAAGAAAAATAAATTTAGTAAGATTTGATCGAAAAATTAGTTACAAAAAAAAAACCGAGAATAGTGTCCTAAATATTATTGCTAAATTTTAAAATATTTTTTTTTTTTTTAGCATGAATTAAAGAAAAATTTCAAATTAAAATCTTTACATTCAAATTTCATCACAAAATCTCAAAGAAAAATTTTTTTTTACTTGTTTAACTTTATCCTACAATTATTATAAATGTATGCCATTGAGTGAATAATACATACTTTTCTTTGCTTTGTTTTGTTTTTGTTTTTGTTTTTGTTTACTACCAGAATGATGTACCACTTTACAGAATCAGGTAAACTAACTTGTCCAACACCAGGCTGTGATGGTTCAGGCCATCAGACAGGCCTGTACACACATCATCGAAGTCTTTCGGGTTGTCCACGACGACCAGATAAATCAACAATTCAATGTGAGTCAAATTTATTGATTTCATTTCGCAATGATTTCGTAATTTATTGAAAATATAATTAAAGTAATCCATTTGACAATCTCTTTGTCCTCTCTCTCTCTCTCCCTCTTTCTCTCCCTCTTTCTCTCTCTCTCTTTTCATAGATAGGTTTTGTTGCTAATTTCGAAATATGGATAGTAATTTGTTTAAGATATATGATGGATGAATTTTTATAGATGAAATCAAATTTTCTTTTTCTTTCTCAGTATAATTAAAGAGAGAGAGAGAGAGAGAGAGAGAGAGAGGGAAAACGAAAGATATTTCTTAATTTATAATTATAAATTTAAAATTGATTTGAAAAAAAAAAAGTCATAAAATTTAATAAACTTTTTTTTTATTGAAATCCATGATTCATGGAACATTTCTGTTTGTTTATTTTTGTTTGTATTTTTGTCTGTTTGTTTATTTTTACTATTGCTACTTTTTTTTTTTCTTTTTACAATTTCAATAAATCATTATATATATTTTTAAAAAAAAAGAAAGAAAACAATAAAACTAATAAGAAAGATTTATAAATGCAAAAAGAAAAAAACAAAAATTTATCAAATCACCGCTTTTTTTATGAAAATTTTAATTTTTTTTTTAAATTTCATTCTCATTCCTATTTTTCTCACTTATTTTCACTCTTTTCATACTTTTCAAATTTGGTGTTAATTCTTTCTTTCTCTCTCTCTCTCTCTGTCTTTATTCTCTCTCCTTTATTTATTATCAGTTAATTATCATTTATATATGTTATTTGATAGGTCAGAAGAGTTAATTTTGACCTAATAGCGACCGCTATCAAATAGATTCAGTTGCGGTTGACCAAAAGCGCATTTGCATAAAAAGTCGTTGTCACTTCCTTTAAATTATGCCATGCATGGTCAGTTCGTTGTCATTAATAAGCCAAAAGGAGCAGATGGTCAATCATTAAAGATCGTTTTACCATTTATTCATCAAATATCATTCATTTGTCAATAATCATTAAGCTACCTTGATTTTCTCTTTTCTCTTTTTTTTTTTTTTTTTTTGTTTGAAGTTTACTAATTAAAATTTGTCATATCGTTTTGAGCATAATATTTTTTTTTTTTTTAAATTATTTTTTTTCTTTATACAAATGTTTTTTTTTCTTTTTTTTAAATGAAAGAAAAACAAATAAAACTGTTAATTTAATATTATAAAAACTTCATTGTAATTTTAATTTTCATATTTATGTTTTTTTTTTTTTTTTTTGGAAGAAAAAGAGAGAAAATTGTTAATATTATTAAAAATTCTTTAAATAATTTTGCTATATAAATTTTCTTTTTATAATTTTTTTATTTTTTTTTTTTTTTTTGCTCAATTTTTATTCTTCACAAGTTATCATTTAATAGTGCTATCTAATTATTCTTTTCAATATAGTAATTATAAAGTAATATATAATTATTGTATGAGAACAAATTTTTGTTATTCTTTATTCTCTTCTAACTAATTCAAATATTTCAACGTATAAATTTTCATGAAGGAAAAAAAAAATTTATCAATCATATAAGGGAAATTTGCCATATAAATTTGAATTTTTGTAATTCAAAAATTCATTGAAATTATATTGAAATGAATGTTTAAGTAAAAAGAAAAAAAAAAAAAAAAAACGAAATTATGCCGCATTTCTATTGACGAATTTATTTGGTAAATAATTTATTATTTGATCGGAAAGCTTTCATTCTTTTTATATTAACTAATTAATTAATTATCCATTTGATAGTTCATTAATATTTGATCATTTCATTGAAATTTCATATCAATCACATCAATTGTCGGTATATTTTAAAACTCAAACTATTCTAATCTCATCATACATGTGCACGAATACTTTTATTACCCATTTTTTTTTTTATTTATCTTTTGAAATTTTGCATATTCCTTTTACTCTCTCTCTCTCTCTCTCTCTCTTAACTCATTAATTTATGCCGACAAAAGAAGAAAAGAAGATTGAAATTTTTTATCCCATTATACAGGAAATGATCATCGATATATTTAAAGAAATAATGAAATCGGAGAGCTTTTTATGTTTTATTAGTTAGAGTTAGGTTAATTACTTATTTAGGTTACTTACTTATTTAAGTTAGTTAGTTAAATCATTGATTATAATGTGCGATTACGGTATGATTAGCATTTTTATTCTTTTTTTCTTTATGTTAATGGTAATGATTATCCAATTGATGTTGTTCCGTTGATTATAGTATGCAAAAAAAAAAGAAAAAAGAAAAGGGAAAACGAAAAGAAAAAAAAAAAAATTTTTGGTGACACTGATCATTGACCTTGGACACGACATGCCGCTTCTTTTTATTCTTTCCGTCACTTTTCTTTTGTCTTCCTCAAATTTGTACTTTCCATATGTCTTAATTTGAACTAATTTATTACTTTTTTTTCTCTCCCTCCCTCTCTCCCTCTCTCTTTCTCCTTTACTCTCTGTCTTTTTCTCTTTTTTTTTCAAATATCTGTTATAATTGAAGGATACAAGATGATAATAATAGGTAAAGTAAAAAAGGAAAAAAAAAAAGGAATGATGCAGAAAGTTATAATTATTTTTTAAATCAAAAATATTTTTTTATTTAAATTTAAAAAAGTTTTTTTTTTCAGTATTAGCTCTACAACAGGATACGGTATTACGTTGTACAACACCAGGTTGTACAGGTAAAGGTCATGTGAATAGTAATCGAGCATCACATCGAAGTTTATCTGGTTGTCCAATTGCTTATCAGCAGAAATTAGCACGGAAGAGTAAGAAATGAAATAAATTTCAAATTCATTTCGAATTAATTAAATGATTTCAATTCATTCTAATACAATTCATTTTAATAATATTTGAAATAAAATGAGATCATGTATTTTTTTTTTTTTAAATAAAATTCTAGTATTAAAAAGAAAAGGTAAAATGAAATGATACAAATTCATTTTGAATTAATTGATTTCAATTCATTCCAATAATACAATTTATTAATATTTGATATATATAAAAAATATGGGACGAGACAAAATGAAATAATTTTTAAAAAAAATTAAATCAAATTAAAAAGGAAAGAAATTCTTTTTTTTTTTTTTTTTTTTGATGGAAAAATTAATGTAATCAAATCAAATTAATAATAATAATTTTCTTTTTCTTTCATTTCTTTTCCATTTTACAGGTATGCGTCATATGTCACATCAATTGACGGTGACAGCAGCGCCCTCAACATCTTCTAATCATATCAGTGATGTATCAATGATGATTGTACCACCAACAACAACAATTCATTCAATTAACAACAATAAATTTGTAGCAACAACTACAGATGAAATTCCACTTGATTTAACACTTCGAAAATGTAATCAAAAATTTACAGAAAAAAGGTTTTATTTTTAATAAAATTAAAATTTAAAATTTTCATTAATATAATTTAATTCTTGATATATATACTTTTTTTTTAAAGTATAATACTACTTTTTAGTCATCCGTTTGATTAAATTAAGTCATTCATTGTAAAAAAAAAATAATTCATTTAAATTATTAATATAGAAATATATTTTTTTTTAAGTTTTTTTCTGAAAGTTTACATAAATTCTTTTTTTCAATGATTGGTCAAATTTTTTCACATTCTGTCCTTTTTTTTATTTCTTATCATTTATATCATTTCATTAGTAAATTCTGATAAAATGATTGTTTAAAAAATTTCAATAATTTAAAAAGGGAGAGAGAAGAGAGGAAAGTTATGTATGTGTAAATTTCTTTTATTTCTATTTGAAATAAATTTAATTATGTCAGCTTTTTTCATTCATACTTTTAAAATGTCATTAACAGTTTGATATGAAAATGTATAAACATTGTTAAATTTACTTACTTAAAATGTAGTATATGTGTATGTGTATATTTAATTTAATCATTTTATGTTTTGGTTTATCCGTTTACTTCTCTTTCTTTCTCTCTCCCTCTCTCTCTCTCTTTGTCCATTTCTCCTTTTCACTTTCTTCTCTTAAAAAATCCCAAGAGGATACTTTTAGAATAAATTAAATTGTTAGTATCTTTCTATATGTTACAATGAAACATTTGGATTAATTTGACAATCTTTTTTTTTTTCTTTTTTTCAAAGTTATTTCAATGTTTCATTGATTTTTATTCATTTACATAAGGTTTACTTACTTTTTTTTTTGTCAATTTAATATTTTTATAGTTAAAATTAAATAGAAATATGATTCAATGTGACAAATTTATATCGTCTTAAAAAAAAAAAGAAAGAAGTATTTGAATTGAATTATAAAAATTAGTAAACTGAAGAGGATTATTTATTCTCTCCAAGAAAAAAGACTTATATTTCAGAAATCAAGAAAATAAGGATAGTCCAAAGGTGAAAAGGTCAAGGACGGATGATATTGGTCATTTGTTAAATCGAAATATTACTAATGATGCTATTGCTTCTCCTACAATAGCACCGTTTTCAACAAGTATATATTAATTTTTATTTTCTATATATAAATTCAAATTTAAATTAATTTTGATTAAATATAGCTAAATTTTTATGATGAGGAATTAAGTGAATCTTTTACTGCTATGAATTACAGTAAATAATTTTCATTATTTTTCTTCTTTTAAATCACTATTTAATGATTAGTGATTTGTACAAATATATGATAATTTAATTTAGAAATTTTAATAAAATATCATTTAATATTGAACAAATTCTAATTAACATTCAGATTTACTATAATTTCATTTATAATTCATTTTTTTTTTAACTAAAAATTATCGTTTTTTGTTTTTTAGTATTAATTATTTTTTTAAATTATTTCATTTTAATAATATTTACATGTACACATATTTGTTTGTTTATTATTTATTTGTTTTCATTATTCACTTTTTTTTATTAGGAATTATTGCCGAAACATCTTTTTTAGTATTTTACCATTAATTAATCTTTTAATTATTTCATTCTAATAATATTTACATGTACATATACTTATTTTATTTATTTGTTTACTTATACATTTATATTTCAGATAATGCTAATCCATCAAAATATTTGTTGGGAAAAGAAATGAATTTAATGTTAGAAGAGTCAGCATTATCAAAATGTTTCACAAATAGCATGAATACAACAGCAACAACAACAACAACAACAACAATAGCAACAACAACAACAACAACAGCAGTTACATCAACAACAATGGGTGCTAACGTAAATAACGATAGTTCGATGACGGGTTTTCAATTAGCGCAACTATTGTTAGCACAGCTGCAAGCTCAACGTGATGCTTCATCATCAGTATTATTATCATGAAAAATTTTTAAAATTGATCTTTCTCTTATTTTTTGTTTTTTTTTTTGTTGTTGACGTTTTATCTTTGATCTTTTCCTTTTCCTTTTTTTTTTTTGCTAGCTAAATTAATTATTAGCATATAAATTTTTATTGTGTTATTTGAATAAGATTAGATTGATTATTAATAAATACTTATTATATATACTACTCATTAAAATTGATATCAAAATTTGGTCCAATTGTTGACTTCATTAATATGAGCTGTTGTTTGTTTTATTTGTTTGTTTGTTTGTTTGTTCCATTTACAGTTTAAAAAGAAAAAAGAAAAAAAAAAGAGATTTTATCTCCTGAAATAGTTGATAAATTAATCAATTTATCCTTTTTATTTAATTTTTTTTTTTTTTTTTTTATCAATAAAATATTGTTTCAAATTTTGTATGAAAAAAGGAAAAAAAAAAGATGAAATAATATTTATTGCATAAATGAATGATGAATGAATAAAATATTTTACACAAATGTATTTTTAAATGTTTATCAAATATTAGAAAGGATGAAAATTTAATTTACATATTTTTTTTTTTTAATTTTTCAGTAAGACAAAATTTCTAGAATTATTATCAAAATGTCTTTTTTCTTTCTTTCCCTTTTTTAAATTTTAATATTCTTAAAGTGTATTTTTTTTTTTTTTTTTTGTTTTTATTTAATGAAAATAAACATCAAAGAGAGAGGGAGAGAGAGAGAGAGAGGGAAAGGGGAAAAAAAAAGCTTTTATATGGTACTACCTGGTGTGATTTCCTTAGATGAAATGAATCATTTAGGCATATATAAGAGGAATAATTTGAATTTTTTTTTTTTCTTTGCTTTTTAGATTTGAACAACGACAGATGGTCAGATTAAGCTGCTTTTTTAAGCAAATTGAGAGTTTGTATTAGTATTTTAAGATTGAATGAATGATTACAAAAAAAGAAAAAAAAATATTATTTAATATGAAAATGAATTACTAATAATATAGCTTTTTTTGTTTAAAAAAAAAAAAAAAAAATGAAAAATCAAATTAAATACTTTATATTATATTCATTATTCTTCCGGTTATATGAAACAGAAGAAATCTTTTCCTGAATTATGAAACTTTTTAGAGTAATTTCCTCTTTTTCTTTTTTTTTTTTTTTGTTTCCTTTTCTATTGCTATATTTTATAAAAAATTTTAAATTTCATATCATTAATTATTCAAGGCGCCTTTTTATATGTAAATAAATAAATAATAAATATAGATGATGTATATGTTACAGTCAAATTCAAGTGATCTCATCAGATTTCACATTTTTTTTTTTAAAAAAAAAGAAAGTCAAAAATAAAAGTTTCATTCTTTCTGTCAAATTTCATAAATAAATGCTACAGGTGCAATTGCTATTTTTATTTTAGTAATTTTTTTTTTTTAATGTACTCAGTATTTTGTGATGAATTGTAAGAAGTATGTTGCTATAATATTTAATGTTTATAATAATTTTTGACAGTATTAAATTTCAGGTTGAATGTTTTTTTTTTTGTCTTCCAAATTAATAATTTGAAGTTATTATTCTAAAATAATATTTTCAAAATATTATTTTTCTTCCCTTCTTTTTTTCTAGGGCTATAATTTCAAATGAACAATTGAATTTTATGTAAGATATATATAAATTTTTTTTTGTTATGATAATATGGTAACGATGAATGAATGTAGTAGTGGTGTGTCTATTTTTTTATTTATGAATTTAAAAGAGAGAGAGAGGGAGAGGGAGAGAGAGAGAGAGAAAAGATTGAAATGTCTTTTATATTTGTAAAAATTATCTATTCATTCTCTATCATTTCACTTTTTTTTTTTCTTCTTTTCCTTCCATTTCAGTATATTTTCATTTCAGAATGTTAACGCATTTTCAGTCATTCATTTCATTTCTAAAAAAAAAAAATATTTAAATTTTTTCTTTTTATGTGAACACATATGATATTTTCATTCATTACTGTATCTTTCTTTTCCCCTCTCTCTCTCCCTCTCCCTCTCTCTCTCTCTCTCTCTCTTTGTCTTCATTCTTCGTAATTTTCTCTTTCATTGCAATTATTGCATTTTTAATTTCATTTACATTAGAAATAAAGCTTTTTTTTTTCTGTTTAAATGGTATCTTTCCTCTTTTTTTTCATTTTTTTGTATAATTTTTTGAATTTTATTCATGAGAAAAATGTGATTAAAGAGGAAAAGGAAGAAAGAGAGAGACAGAGATGGAGAGTGGGAGAGGGAGGGAAAAAGAAAGAAACAAAAAGGGATAAATGAAGAGATGAATAGAAAGAGAGAGTGAAATAAAATAAAAATTTGTCATTATTTTTGTAAATATTTTTTTTTTCTCTCTCTCTCTCTCTCCATTTTTTTCTCTTTCTCTCCCATTTTTTTAAACTCATCTATCATTTAATTCAAATGAATATCACACTGTGTTTCACTCTTTCTTTTCATCTTTTATTTTAAAAAACAAAAATTTTTTTTCTTTTCACTTCATTTCTCTTTCTTTCTCTTTCTCTCTCTCTTTTTTTTTTTTTTCAAACAATAATAAATGAAAATGAAAAATTAAAATTATTTGTATTTATTCTGATAAAAGAAGGAAAGGAAGTAGGGGAAAAGAGAGAGAGAGAGGAGAGGGAGAGTAAGAGAGAAGGAGAGAAAATTGAAAAACGCAGTTGAATTGAAATAAGCGTAAAAATGTTTTCTTTTTTTACGTACAAGAAGAAATAAAAATGAAATTTGTTGTGTTTTTCTTCTAATACAGTAGCATAGAAATTATAAAATAAAATTATTTGTCTTTTAATTTTATTTATTTTTTAAATTGTGAAAAAAAAAAAAAAACAAATAGTAATTAATTTAATTTCAAAAAAAAAAACCTCTTTTTTTCAACATGAAAAATTTTGTATATAATTCTTAATTTCAGTTTTCTTTTTCTTTAAGAATAGAAAATGCTTTTGAAAATATGCATGTAATTATTAAATTAAATTTGTTAAAAAATTGCTTTTTGTTTCTCTCTCTCTCTCCTCCTCTCTCTCTCTCTCTTAATTTGATGAAATTGTTTAAATTTAAAATTTTAGTTTTAAGAAAAAGGGGAAAAAAAAAATTCTTCAGATGGGATACGGTAAGTGGATGAAGTTTGTGAAATTATCTTTTGAATGTAGTAGCACAGCTATGACCAATGATTGAAATGTATTGATGCAAGCAGAGTGAAAAATGAAAAATGCTTTAAAATGCTTTTAAAAGATTGATAGAAAAAAAAAAAAAAAGAAAATGAAGAAAGAAAGGGAAAAAGAAAAATAGAACGAGGGGGAAGGTAATTTTGTGTTTTTTTTTGTCTTTTTGTTCCTTTTTGTTTTTCTACTTTTTTGTTTTTTTACTAATTCATTTTTAGCTTTTTTACGTTTTAAAAAATTTTTTATTTTAGAAAAAATAGAGTGTACTGTGGATTTTTTTTTTCTTCTTCCTTTTTATTTTGTTTGGGAAATTTTGAAATTTGATAAATGATTTTAAATTTTAATTAATGAATGGAATGTTATATTAAACATGATGTTTAAATTTATGAAAAAATATGAAATCTCTTTAATATGGACTTTTTATTCATTTTATTTTTGTTCAATTAAATAACATTTTTTGATTTTCTTCAATGATAACTCTTTTTTTTAATTTCCTTTTTTTTTTGGAAAGTTTTATTATTTGTTTTACTTTTTTCCGGCAAATTTTGCAATAATAATATTTATTTTCTTTTCATTAATAATAATTATCATAGTATGATAATTATTATTGATAAATAATCCATTGATAAGTGATATCACCAATGCATATCACTTTTAAAATGTTTTACATTTTAATAATACAGGGATGCTTCTTTCTTTTTCTGCTTTTTTTTTCTCTCTCTCTCTCTCTCTCCCTCTCTCTCTTTTGAAATTTTTTAATGTTTAGACAAAATTCTTTTTTTACTCATCACTTTGCATTATGTACGTACAGGCATTTTTAATTTACTTTCTTTTCATACAATAATTCTTTGTGTTCCAAATTTTCTTTCTTTCTTTCTTTGTTTGTTTATTTGTTTGTTTCTTTATTTGTTTACTTCTCTGTTTTCTTCAATCGTTTAATTTGAGAATACATAAAATGTCTTAGTAAACTGTTAACATATCAATTTCATTGTTTATTTCTTTTGCGCATTTTTCATTTTGATCAATTTTATGTATTAAATGAAAATTTTGAAATAAAAAAAAAAAAAATTTATGTGCAAATTTATGAAATAAAATATTCTTTGTTGTGAGAGTTTTTTTTTTTTTTTTTGAAAATTAAATTAAATATTCAAAAAGATGATTAATTATATGTATTTATTACTATTTATATATATAAAAGATAAGATTATTTCTCAGCAAATATTTTTTTTTTTTTTTTTTTTATTATTAGACTAATAAGTGAAACAATAAATGTTAAATTCTAATAAGTCAAAATTAAAAGTAAACGAATTGTTAATCTTTTTTTACTGATAATAAAATGATTGTTAAATTTAATAAGTAAAATTAATAAGCGTTAAATTAAAAGTCAAAATAAAAGTTAAAAAATTGTATTTTTTAAAAAAATTAAAGTAAAATATTAAAAAAAAAAAGTATAAAATCAAAATATTATAAAATTATTTGATAACAATAATTTTATCAAATAATTGTTTTAATATAAAAATGTTATATTGTAATTATGTCTGTGTCTTTGTGTATGCATTTGATGATGTAAAACTTAATTATTTGACTTATTAGGAGGACACAATGATGTTTGTATGTCTCTGTCTGTGTGTATGTGTGTGGGTGTACATGCGTGGGTGTATGGGTAGCTTGTTGTCTCATAAAATGTTTACTTGGAAGTGAGTGGTAGTAGCAGCGATCGTTGTTGGATCGTCGTCGTATCCATCCGTCCAATATGCATGCAAGCGCAGATTGAATTAAACCGCTACACAGCTGTTACCATATTGAGGGAAATGTATATA